GTAATCTCTCTTCTTGTTTATTTTCTTTCTCCTCCAACCACTGCTGTAGTCTCTCTTGTTTATTTTGCTGTTCGAGCTGCCACTGTTTCAGGTTTTCTTGCCACTGCTGTTGTCTCTCTTCTTGTTTCTTTTCTTTTTCCTCCAACAACTGCAGTAATTTCTCTTCTTGTTTCTTTTCTGTTTTTTTATTTTTCTTCCCACTCTCTGACACAAATTTGTTACATCTCTGGTCGTTTGTTAATTTCCCGTAAAAATTATTTCCGAACAACTTCAGCGATACAAGTCCTTTCTTAAATAAAACTAGTTTATTCTTTCTCAATACAACTTTGCAATACACTTAATTTCCACAGTCACTTTAACTTAAACACATTTTATAATTCACAACGGTTTACACACTTTACTTATGGCTTGACTCGATTATCCTGTAACCAATTTATCTGCCGGCTTATATACTAAAATAGAAGGTGCCTAGAAAAGACTAGAGTTGCAAGGAACAGTCATGATCCTTCTAGAAACTCCAGCATGCATGCTTCCAGCATCACGTGACTTCCGCTGTTGTAACAGAAGTTAAATCCAATTTGTGCAATAACATTCACATTCAAAAATACCTTCCTAACTCATCTTCTTAAGTGATAAGTAAAAACAGCTCCAGGTAAAGGTGTAATTGAATTCTATTTCACATATTCTATTAGCTTTTATTATACTTGTGTTTTATGAAAGAAATGTATTTATTTTACTTTCATAGTTCAGGCAAATCAAAAAATATACTCAAATAAAGTTGTATACTAGCAGTGCTGACTAACCATTTTAATCACATCTGGTTAGACATTCAAATACTGTTTTCTAATATTTGAAGCAAACATTTCCAGAAACTTGTATTTTAAATTTCATCTTACCAAGTTAAAAATTCAAAGTACAATACAGATATTTATGTTTTAGATGGAAGATAGTACTTAAGTGTTTACAGAAGGCTGTCATGATTACTAGCCTATACAATGATGATATCACTATATCTTGTGAGGTTATCACAGTTACTTTGCATTCTCTATAAAGAGGACCAAATTCTTAACACGAGGACATTTTAATCTTGTAATAAAATAAAATAAGTTTGTAGTAATGAGACTTCAGTGATCATACAGGCTAATAAGCATGACAGTAAACAGTACATCCACTTGCCATATGGACTTCTGAAGTAAAGTTAATACACCTTATGGCCAAATATAACAATAGCACATGGTGAAAATAATTAAAACTTTTAAGTTTAATTAAAAAAACCTCCTAACCCCACCTTGCTCAAAAATAGTTTTGGTGCAATCTATATATATTACTGTGGTATTATTCAATACATTACTTTAAATTAAAATATATCATAAAAGCAATACCTACTTGGACATGCAGACTTCAGTTTTTTTAGAGTCTTTAGATGGCTACTTGGTGTTATTTTATGGCAGTCTTCAATATCACCACACTCTTCTAACAGAGAATAATAAAAAACCAAGCGACTGTGATCTGTACCATCAATATTTGGATAAACATACTCTTGCAACCGTTCACACATTTTTTCTGGTTGAGATGTTAGTGTTTCATGCATCCTTAACTCTTTTACCCTATTCTCCAGCTCAAGAGTCGTTAGGCTGATGTAAAAAAATACTTTGTTCAAATACAATAAATTACACAAAGATTTAGAAATACTTCAAAAATTCTGCACAACCAACAAACTGAGTCACAGAGTAAGATATATATATATATCTATTTACAAGAAAATTTAAGAACTCTTGGGTTTAAATCATTCTTCTGAAGACAAAATCAGGTAAGTAATGTTACAAGAACATGCACATACGTTTATAAAAGACACAAACTTAAAATAATAAAAAAAAGCCAAAAAATACTGTTAACAGAATTAAGAAAGGGTCATGTTTTCTCAGAATAGTATTTTCCCAATAATGCCTTTCCTAAAAAAAAAACGCAATACAAATTATCAAAAACAAATAATTGAGAAAATTTAACTTATAAGATTATAGTCCTTTTTAATGCTTTCAATCAGAAACAAGCCATTTTTACAATAGAATAAATTATTTACAGCAATTTTATTCTTATTTAAAATAAATAAATAAATAAATAATTAAAAATAAGGAAATTTAAAAGGATATAAAAAAAGTATATCAGAAACAATATTTCTACTGTTTTTAATCTTATTAAAAACTTATAGATTCTAATAAACCCAGGAAAACTGATGCAACACCACTTGGAAAATCAAACCTTTGAAAAAACAACAACAAAGAATAAATGTAATTTTTTTGTATGTTTTACGAAATAGAGGAACCAATTCATATTTCTTTTTTGATGAATCACACCTACACAACAAGTTAAACATAATGATATAAATGAAAGTACCAGGACAAAATTTTATTACAGGATTTTAAACTATAACAAAAATGAGTATATTGGAATGGATGGCAACTGCCTGTTGTAAAAAAAAAACACAAGTTAGAGGATGACATTTCAAAAGTCTTTCTTCTTTCATCTTCAGGTCAGTGTGTAAAAGTTGTTGCAAGTCTTTTATAGTATCCTGGTGGATTGTAGAGGACATGTTGTGAGTGATTTGTTTATCCCTGATTCTGATTAATGGAAAGACTGCACATAGTTTCAACCAATGGTAGCCATAGGTCGCTCACCTCTAATCTCTATATAGTTTAGGCTTTACTGTGTTAATGTAAAAAGATTCTTTAATTTTTCTTGTTTTCCAAAATTTGTCTCTTGTTGATGATCCTAGTTTTATCCCAGTTTTGTCTATAAAATTAACAATCCACTTCACCATGGAAACAGAGGAACAAAACAACTTATCGTTTCTTGACATACTCATTAGCAGACAAGAGAGAAAGATCCCCACAACTGTATATAGATACACACAGACAAATACCTCAACTTCTAGTCCTACCATCCAACCTTGGTAAAATGTGGTAAAATCCAATACCTAAACAAGAGAGCAGAAAACATTTGTGATGAGACATCCAACAAAATAGAATGCCAAAAGATCAGAGAGTGTTTTAAACATCACAGTTATGCCTCTACCAAACAGAAACCTACTACTGAAAAACACAAAAACGTCATCTATGAAATTCCAAAATATAAAGATATGGGAAGACTCAGGACACAAAGACAGCACAAGACTCATGAAAATACAAAACCCAGCCATTGCAGAATGCACAAAATAAACTGGGATAAAACTAGAATCATTGACACGGACAAATTTTGGAAAACAATAAAAATGAAAGAATCATTCTACATTAACTCAATAAAGCTGTCAGGTTTTATATGAATGGAAGGGCTGGATTTTTTTTAGAGTTGGAGTCTGTTACTTGTTGTCGATAAATTTAAAAAATAAACAAACAGCAAAAAGTCTGTTTGTTTTAAAATAGTATATATTAAAACAAATCAAACATATATACAAATGTTCGTTACACTGTTGGTTACCACATTTGTATCAAAAGCTTTATATAATTGTCTCTTTTCGTCAAAATTCACACAGGTTGGTTCAGTTACCTTAGAACCCAATTGACATTCGAATTATTCTTCTCTACTCTGTTATTATAACATAATCTATGATAATTTCCCCTTAAAAGTCACCACAATACATGATTTATGGTTAAGCTCACAATCATGCAGTCTAAATCTACATATCCATCTATATAACTCAAACCACATTTTGGATGCATATTCATAGCCTGACAGAGACCTAGAACATTCTACACACTACAAGATATTAGGATGCAATAATACTCAATCAAAACAATGAGAAAAACTTGGAAGGTTCTAGTAACATGATGCAACAATACAACAAGTACCAATTAACAACTACTGAACTACATAACGTATAACTCGTACACAGTTACATAAACAAACCTATGATAAACTATTGCTTCTAAACATAACTAAATTTAACACACCAATCTTAAATTGAAACAGTCATGTACATCTAACAAAAGCCTTCACTAAACAGAGATTCAGGATTAGAGGTGAGCAACCTATGGTTACCATTGGTTGAAACCACATGCAGTCTTTCCACCAATCAGAACCAGGGATAAACAATCCAATTACTACGCATCCTCTAGGATATTATAAAAGACCTGCAACAGCTTACACACATTGACCTGAAGAAAAATAACAGAAGACTTTCAAAATATCCTCTTCCACACTTGTGTTGTTTTTATAACAGGCAGTTGCTATCTATTCCATTATACTCATCATGAATACTCTGCCTAAACAATCTATCAAAGATTAACAAAAGATATCTCTTTTACTTTTTCTAATTCCATGTGTAATAAACTCATTCTGTAACACTTACTATATTATTTCTTAAATTCTTCATATTCCTGTAGTATGCAAATACACCATACCTTACTCTTCTACACTGTGTATATTTCATATGTGTAAAATTTTAAACTTCTGTACAGTTCTAATTAGAAACACTAAATGTGGTTGAAGTCATGTTCTAAATTCATCCTGAAGTGTTACTTTCTGGAGTCAAGGAACTTATGAACTATCTCATGGGTTACTTGCACTGTGTCTTACTTTCCATTACATATAAAAGACCAATTTATGACTGTCTCAAGGAAAAGAGATCTTCCTGGATTTGTGTGATTCAGTTTCCTGATTGATCAAATTATAGAGAAAGACCACTTTATGAATATAATTTTGATGGTTTCATACAGATTATTTTCTGATATAGACAGATATGGCTAGGGAACCTTGAAATTATCACATTTTTACCACTTCTCCAACTTTACATAATTTTCCCCCTTTTTTTAATCTTTGATCATTGTTTCTCATTATTCCAGATCAAATACAAGCAAAAGAGTATTTAATTTGCTGAAATTCATTAACAAATAAGCTTTGAGGTACATGAAAACAAGTTATGTAATTCAAATTTGATGATGAAAAACCCACCATTTAGAAAATAAAGTTTGGAGATAGCTTGAAAGAAACTTTATTATAAACCTACATCAGAGAAATCAGAAAAAAATTGGAAACCAGATTCACCAAACATAATAAATAATCCTCCCATGTCTACCATAATTGCAAATCAAAAACCACAGTATGTCTATATAAAACTAAACAAAACAATTTTAAACAAAAAACAAACATCTTAATTGAACAAAACAGTCCTATTCTATACCAACACACACTTCACGATGATGAGAAACCCACTTGACATAAAAATGTATAGCAGAGACAGCTGGTATGAGTATTACAAACTTTTATTAGAACAGTGTTTTAACCTTCTTAGGTCAACTTCAGGTTAACAAAGATAGTTTAAAACTGACCGTTACTGGGCACATGTCTTAGGGACAAGAGTGTGAATGGGTATGAGATTGTAGGGAGTGTAGCAGTTATATGTTACGTGATTAATTAACATAGGCATAAAGCTCTTCCTTGTAAAAGTAGGACTTCTTTGATTTTGCATTTGTTTGTGTTTGTTTCTCTACGTAATATGTTGGTATTTTTTATGGTTATGTTGTGTTTATTTGATTTGCAGTGTTCATAACATGGGAAGGAGTTTTTTGTGTTAATTGAATCTGTTTTCCATTTTATGGGTTGTTTCTCCAATATAAAAGTTGTGGCAGTTGTTGCATTGTATTTTATAAATATTGTTGGTGTTATGTTTGTCAGTGTAGTTTTTATGCAGTATGGATTTTAGTTTTGTACCTGGTTTTTGAATGAATTTAGTGTTTATTGGAATGTTATATTTTGTTGTAAGTGTTTTCCAAATGTTGTTTATTTTATCAGGAATATATGGTATGCAACAGTGCAAGATTTTATAGTTAGTTGTTTCATTGAATTTATTATTGTTTGTTTGCTGTTGATTGTGTTGTTGGCCTAGGTGTGTGTGTATGATGTTTTCGATAGTTTTTGAAGGAAATTTATTGACATTGATGAAGTGTTGTTTTAGTTGTTTGATTTCATTGTTAATTTTATCGGGTAAGCATAGTCTTGTGGCTGTGTTTATTTGGTTTTTAATATGTTGAGTTTTTGTTTTGTTTTATGTGCTGAGTCCCAGGGAATGTATAGTCCAGTATGGGTGATTTGTTTGTGAATTTCTGTTTTAAATTATGTATCAGTTCTTGTGATCTTGAGGTTGAGAAATGTTATTTGTTTAGCTATCTCGTATTCACAGGTGAACTTAATGTTGGGGTATATGGAGTTAACATGGTTAAAAAAACTAAGTGTGTGTTCTGTAGATGTGAATCCAGCAAATGTATCTTCAATATATCTGTACCAGTATAGTGGGAGGTGTAAGGCTGAATTGTGCTATATTCAATGCTTACTAGGCCTTTGGCCCAATACTAGGATCCACCAGGCTAGCTGGGATACAACAGACATAGTAATGGTTCAGATACATTTTATATTAGTAAACTGCATGATAAAAATTGTTATGGTGTGAATTAAATTGTTCTTCATCAAGTGTAATTCAAATTTTATTCCCACAGGAAACACATCAATGAGCTTAGCTGAAATTTTAACAGCTCTTATTGCACAGTTAGAAAGCCAGAAAAATTATGATAGTTATAGAACATTGTCTGTTTTTTACAAGTTATTATTCTGTGATTTTAGGTACAGTATTTAATTAAATAAAAATTATTTAGTATGGTAGTATCATTAGTATTAAAAAGTAGGCTTAAGTTCCATTGACAGTCAATAGCAACGAAAAAGAAGACCCAATTAAGTACTGTATATTTTATTTTTATTTTTTACTTATTATTATAAAAGTAACTAAAATGTAAAAATTCGAAACTTATTAGGTTAGATTAAGTAAGATAATGAATAATAACAATAATAATAAAAATTCTTCATGAGGTATGCTAGGAAGTAGTTTGTGCATATGTAATTCGATAGGGTATTGTTCGCTACATATTTGCTGAGTGATTTACACCTTGAGTGGCAGGATTAGTAATTAGACACAGTTCAAAAGGCAATGAAATAATAAAATTAAGTATAAATAGATGTATACCGTTAAAGCTTTAAGGTACTTAGGATAAACAACTTTGGTTTCCTGTTACAATTTGCAGTCATTCCAGGAAGAAAAAAAACAGTACTTTAGAATTATTTCTTAATTTTTATGGTGGTTATGAGGTCAGTAAAATCAACTGACCCTGTATGGAGTTATAGTATAGAAAATAATAGATAAAATATAGGTTTTCTGAAAAAAAGACAAAAAACATTTCATATTTATTTAGAAAGTTTTAGGGATTATGCAAATGAAATTTTAAAATTTTCAGATGAAAAAAATGTATTTCCAATGTTAATATGAAAATTGCTTTGCACTCAAAGCAATCAAAACTCTGACACCATATAATTACAGTTTTAGTAAAAATACTTAATTAAAAATCTGATTTTTTTGTCTACAAGAGACTTAATTTTAATTGAAAGCTTTCCAAATTTCATGAAGGTACATTAAGTACTTTCAGGGTCATAGTATTGTTGCGTCAGCGAGTCACGTGACCACTGTGGCGCCCTCTAGTTTCTAGAACTATCTTG